TTTTCCAGACAGTGGTCAATTTTCAACTACTGCTCCCGGAATTGCTGGGAAAGTTGCATCTGGACACTTGTATACAACCACAATGACAAGGTTTTGGTTTTCAATCTATACCACCAAAACTTCAATTACATCATTTGAGGTGTTTAGTAGGGCAAATGAGTGACTCTGTGACATACAGGACAACCCCCCCCTTGTTGCCTTAGTCTATCACAACTGAATAGGTTATAACCTGGGATACATATTTCGTTGTCAAAATGATCCTTTATATGGGTCTCTGTGAATGCTGCAAACATTGCATTTGACTCCGTGAGCAGTCCCTTGATGTAAGGAATTTTGTTGTTTGTTGACGGCTTTAGACCCTGTACGTCTGCAAAGACAAATGTCGTTATATTGATGGAATTTAGGTGGGTTTTATTTGCTGGCTCTAATATCTGTTGTTCTGGAGTACAGGCCAATGACTGTTTCTCTGCTCCAGAAGTGTTTTCAGTTGGTTTAAGATTACTGTCATTTCTTGACAGTCTTTATTCCTTCCGGGCACTAAAAAAACCCCTTTTTCTCAAAAAGGGGTTTAAATGCCCCTCCCTTTTTTTTTTCCATAGTCGGGCTTTTCGTGGTTTTCCCTTGCCCCTTTTTTTTGATGGGGCCTGGCAGAATGAAATTGTAGAATTTTTTTTCCTGGAGGATGAACCCATTTCGAGGTGAAAAAAATTTCCAGAAGGGAGTTGCACCCCCTTTTTGTAAATTGGGGTGCGCATTTTTTGGGGAGGGTAAAAGATGCATGCCCCACATTTTTTTACCAGATAAAACCAGGGCCGGGCAGCCCCCAAAGGGGCATAGTTTTGCTAGTTTTGGTTTTTTGTTTGCTGGGTTTTTTTTGTACGGGTTTTTTGCAAACTGGGGTTTTTTTTTTTTCCCTGCTTCCCCTCTACCTACTCCCCCCTGTATGGACATCAGTGCTCCCCCTTTTTTTTGCGGGGAATTTGTGTAAAACACTGTTCTCGAGGAAACATTCCTTTTTGCCCAATCTGCAGCAGAAATTGTTTTTTTTGTACCTCTGTAAATTAAATTTAAAAATGTCTTTACCTGTGTCATCCCCCGGGGCCAACTATTGCTGGTAATGCCCAAAAGCATACAAATTACTAAAACCAGAACTGCCTTTATTAATCCCAATCCACTGGGTAAAATGTTTTCCCAAATTTAATGTCGGGGAAACAGATAAGCAGTCCCCCCTTTGGTCAGGGAACACTTTGTCCTGGCCCAGCCCTTTGACCAAACCCTAACATTTGGTCATTTGACCGAGGCCTTCTGCAAACCCTTCCCGGGTCCACCCCTCAAAAAAATATTATGGGTAAAATTTAAAAACCCAAAACCACCCAACAACCCCCTTCTCCCCTAAACAATGTTTTTATTAACTCCCACCTTCTCCAAAATTCCACACCCCCAAAATTTTTCTGCAAAATTTATTTACACCCCACTTTGCCCTTAGACGGAAAATTCCCACTGCCCCCCAAAAAACCCCGTCTCCCCCGCTGCTGCATTTACCACCCAAGTTCACATCCATATAAGATTTTTTTGGGTACACTATATTTTTTCATACATTCCCTTTTTTTCCTCCATAATAACTTTTTTTGACTCCACATATACCTCAACGAAACCACTCACCTTTTTTCCCTCATCAATTCTATGTTTAAAACCTCTTTCCTTCAAAAACCCAAACCCGCCGACACGTCAACTCCTAAGTATCTGAAAACTTTTAAAATTTTCTTTCCTACTCCTCCTCCCCAAATTTTTGAATCCAATTTTTTTTTTATCTAAATCATTTGATACCCCATCCCCCCTTCCCTTTTTTCTTTTTTTCACTTTAAACTTTCAAACCTTTAAACACCTTTCCCTAAAACCCATCCACAAAAAACCTTTTTGCAATTTTTTTTTTAGAATCCCCCCAAAAGGCACAGTACCCTTTCAGCAAAAAGAACTTTTTCAATTTCCCATTTTTAAATTTTAAAAACCCCCCAAAATTTTAAATCCCACCCCTCCCCCGAACACCCAAAGCATTTACCCCTTTTTCCCAACCCCACATAAATATATTAAACAACCATGGTGACTTTCCCAAAACCCTGCCCAAAGGGAACCAATTTTTCCCGGGGAATATCCCCCTCTTCTACACCCCTCAAACCTGAGCCCACTACCCTCATAAAAGCCTTTACAGCATTTAGTAACTTACCACCTTTTTTCATATACTTGAAAACCCATCTCCCCACATTGCCCCCTTTTTCCCCACTCTACCTATGCCTTTTCAAAATTCCATAAATGCAAAAAAAACTTCCCTACCTTTATCTAAATACTTTCCCCATAATCCCTTAAATGTAAACATTGACTACACATCCCCAAACCCACTTGAACCCTTTCCTTGCTCTTCCGAAATTCTCCCTTTCCTGCCTTCCCTCAAATTTCTTTAAATTATAACCCTACCGTTTTTCTTTTCCGGGGTATCTCATTAAACTTAATTCCTCAAAATTTTTTTAAAAATTTTTTTTTGTCCCCCTTTTCCCCCTTTATAAAAAGGGGACTTCCCAAGCTCTCCGCCAATCCTGGGTTTACCTTCCCCTCTTTCATAAATTATTAAAAAAAAAATCCCAAAACCATCCAACACTATACCCCCCCCCCTTTTTTAAACATTTCCCCCCCTGATCCCATCATTTCCCCCAGCGGTTTAACCCCCTTTCCCCCTACGAAATCCCCTAAAAAACCTCCACCACCCCTTAATTCGCTTTTTCCCTTCCATTTCCTAAAGATGGTAATACCCCCCCTGGCCATTTGCCATAAAAATTCCTTCCCCCCTTTCCCTTTTTTCCTTAACATTTAAAATTCCTCAAAATTTTCTCGCGCTTTCTCCCTAATCCCCTCCCTCCCCCCACCCTACAACCCCCCCCCCTATTTCTTTTTTTAAAACGGGAAAAAATCCATACTTTCCCTAGGCTTTCCCTAACTTGTTTAACTCACCCCAAAAATTTTTTTTTTTTAAATAAATTTTCTTGAACAGGCCTTCCCACTCTTTCATCCTTCTCCCTTTTGCACCTCTAAACCACTCTTTTCCCCTTTTCCTTTTTACTCTCCATTACTCTGCTCTTCTAATTAAAATTTCCCTTTTTTTGGAAAAAAACCTCTCATAAGCTCCCTTTTTTTCCTCTTTTATCACCCCCTTTTAAAACTTCATCATTCCCCCAAATCAAATCCTCTTTCCTCCTGCCCCCACCCTCCTAAAAACCACAAACTTCTGCCCCACTTTCCCCAATTTCTGCATTTTTAAAACTTTTCCCAACCCTCTTAAACCCCCCCCACTACTCATTTTTGGGCACTACCCCCCTTTTTTCTGCCAATAGTCGCTTATATCTCGCCTGAACTTCCCCTCCCTTAGTTTATACACTTTCACCCCCTCTATTTTGTTGTTGCCCCCTTTCCCTTTTTTTCCCCCATCTACCTTTTAAACTCTAACTGTACCCTACAACAAATAATGATCCGTATATTTTTTTGGGCCCCTTAAAAAAACATGTACATCCTGGAGCCTACCCTTAAAACCCCTTTTAACCCACCAATACATAATTCTAACAAAAACTACTTTCTTTACGTGCTCCATCATCCCTTTGTAAAATTTTTTTAAAATCCTCTTTTTCATAAAAAAATTTTTTTTACAAATTTCCCCAAATTTTCCCTTTCTACCCCATACCCCCAATTAAAGGCCCCCCCATTTACATTTCCCCCTGGCACCCCCAAATTTTAAACCTACTTTTGGGTTTCATTTAAGAGAATGGATCAAAAAAGAATGAAAATGGAAAGCATAAAAAATCAAGGGGAAAGGGAAAGGGGGGGTAGGGGCCCGCCCTCGAAGGGTTGGAAAGAGGGGGAAAAGGGGGTTTTTTGTGGGGGGGGGCGGGTTTTTTCCAGCAAGCGTGCATGAGCTTGTTAGATGGGAGTAAAAGGAGACGAATGATCCCTTTGGGACCTGACGATCTTTGGAGTGGAGCGGGGAAAATATTTAGGGGAAGGGGTTTGGGGGAAAACCCGGGGAAATTTTTCATATAGTCAACTTGAGTCCTGGAAAGGGAAGTAAATGCCTGCATTTTAAAAAACAAAGGGGTTTGGATTTTGGGCAGTTTTGGAGGGAAAATTGGTTTTTTCCCTCTAACGTATCTGCTTCAAACTGTTGTTTTTCTGAGCCCCCTCCAAAAGCAGTGATAAAGGGGGTGTGGGGGTGAAAGTTTTTAAATTGATGAAAAAAAGTTTTTTCCTTTTTGGGGGTTTTTCCCTTTTTTTTTTTTTGGGGTTCACCCTGCCTCGGGGGGAGACGACCCGACTTGTTAAAAAAAAAAAAAAAAAAAAAAATTTAAAACCCTTTTCTAGGTAGTAGGAGGGTAGACAGAAACAGCCCAGGGAGGTACTCCCAAACCCCCCAATTAGTTAAAACGAAAACATGAAATTTTTTTACATGATGATGGGAATTTGCTGGGCCCTTTTTTCTGCTCATAAAAAAGCAAGATTTCAGGTAGGGTTTTGGCTATTTTTCTACTTAAACACTTAGGTCACACTACCAAAACATGAAAAACCCATATAATCACCCCCCTGGGGGTTTTGTGCATTTTCTTTTTTATTCTTGTTTTTGTTTATTTCCCTTATCTCCAGGGGGAATGGAACAAAAATTCTTCCCCTAACCCCCAGGGGGTTTTTTGTAAGAGGGGACAAAAAAATGTGGGGAAGAAAGGGGGCCTAGAAACCCCTTCTCCTGTAAAATTACTAAATTTGAAAGAGGAATTTTTGTTTTTTTTTTGGGGGGCCAAACCCGGGCCTCGGGGGGAATACACCCGGGTTTTGTTAAAAGAAAGAAAGAAAAATTTAAAACCCAAAAACAAAGTTTTAACTTTTTTTCTGTACTTTTATAAGGAAAGTATGAGCACTAGTTGGGGAAAGGGAAAGGTGCTTAGGGGTTAGAAAGATGCCCTCACCGCATGGCTGTGCATGAGAGGGAAGAATTTTCTCTCCCAGCAATTTGAAAGCATGTTCTTTATGCCGGGAAAAAAGAGGCCGTTTAGTACAAGTTTAACAATTTTCCTTTAAACCCTTTCCCCCTGTACAACTGAAAAAAAACTAAAAATTTAAAGTAACAAAAAAATATAAAAACAAAATAAACTTTTTTGTGACTAACATAGTAAGTTGGGAAAGGGAAATTTACAAACAAATTTTTTAAAATATTTGTAACACGAAGCTAATATGGGGAAAAATTTATAAAATCATTAAATTCCCTTCACATGGGGGGTTTAAACATAACAAGGGGGTTTCATTTTTAAACTTAAAATTTACAAAATTTGTGAACTTTAATTGTAATGTATAAAAGTGGGGTATTTACTCTTTTAAAAAGTGTGAAAACAATGGGGGGAAGGGGGAAGCTGATGGGGTCCACCGCAGAAAAAACCAGGTAAGTATGATAAAAGGTTTCCAATTTTTTCATGATAAATTTCCCTCCATTGCTCGCTGTAAAGGCTGGGCAAGGATGACATTGAAGCCCTCGGGGGGGAAAAATAACTTCTGGCCATGAAAAGTTTACTTAATACTGTACAAATAAATCGGGTTTAAACTAAATCATATAAAGTCCTAAAATGCAGGTACTAAAATGTTGCTATGGGGAAATTTTAATGAGGAAGTTTTTTTTTTTTTTTTTTTTTTTTTAACAATTCGGGCCTTCCCCCCCCGAGGCAGGGTAAACCCAAAAAAAAAGAAAACCCCCCCAAAAAGAAATTTATTTTTCATAAAAAAATTTCACCCCCTTTCACCTAAACTCACAAAAAAATAACCACTTTTTTTTTCCCAGAGGTGCCCCGAACACAACATTTTTTGGGAAGCATATAAGTATAAAATAAAACAAAACACTTTCCCTCCAAACCGAAAATATCCCAAACCCCCCCTTTAGAGTGAAGGAATTGTACAGGGGGCCCCCCCCGGGTTTTAATGAAATTTTTTTCATTTTCCCAAAGTATTTTTCCATGTCCCAAAGTACGACCGAAATTTGTTCCATAAGGAAAAATTGTGAAGTAAAATACCCCTTTTCCCGCCCCCCAAACATACACGTACAAACGCACTTACATAAAAACACTTACAAAAATTGGTCGCCTTCGGGGGTGATCTTATGGGGGGGCCCACGTACTTCCCATTTCCGGGAACTCAGCCCGGGGTTTAAAATAAAAATAACATTTTCCCCCTAATCTCTTCACTAAATTTTTAACCCTGCTCACACTCCCAACAGATTGTCAGGTTGGGGCAAAGAAAGGTATAAAATCCCCGAAAAATTGAAATTTAAACACATGTGCAACATCTGGAATTTTATTGTAGTAAAACTTTTCCCCATCCGGGTGGCTTTATCAATACAGTTCTAGGACAAAATGGGAAAGACAGAAAGAACTAAAATTTACAAAAGATGGGGTAATCAGCCCCCCGGCCTTGGAGTTAGGTTCACAGCATGTAACACCACGATGCTGGAACACAAACCCAAGGCCGAGGGACTGATTCCCTCTCTTTGTATATAGTTCTACTTCTTCCTATTATGCCCTAGAATCTGTATTGATAAAGCCACGGGATGGCAAAAACGTCTACTACAATAAAGATATCCAGATTTTGCACATGTGTCTTAATTTTCCCAGATTTCAGGCCCCAAAAAAACCATTCACTCCCATTCATTCCTATCGAACACGCTCATGCACGCCTGCTGAAAGCCAAGCCCCTCCCCCCACAAAACCCCCCTTTCCCCCCTTCCTTCCCCCTTTTCAAGGACGCCCCCCTCCCCCCCGCCCTTCCCCCAAACAATTTATACGCTCCCCCATTTTTTTTCCCTATTTTGATCCATTCTCTCAAAATTGATCAAACCACCTCAAAAAAAACCCCCTTTCTTCAGCCCTCTACTAATACTTTTATTAACTCCACACCTTCCCCAAATTTCCACACCCCGTTTTTTCTGCAAAAATTTTTAAAAACACCACAAAATTTGCCCTTAGACAAACACCCCCACTCCCCCAAACCCGCCCCCCCTCCCCCTGCTGCATTCAAAACCCAACTTTCACACCCATATAAAAGGGGGTTTGGCACTAAAACTTTCATACATTCCTTTTTTGCCCCCAAAGTTTAACATTTTTTGTCCCCACAAAACCCCTAAATTCCCCACTCATTTTTTTTTTCCCTCAAAATTCAAATTTTAACCTCATCCTTCAAAAAACCATCCGCCGACAAAATTAACCCCCAAAATTACTATTTGAAAACTTTCCCTTCCCCATACCCCCTCCCCCCCAAATTTTTGATATTAAATTTTTTTTAAACCAAAACTTTTGAACCCTCATCACCTTATTTTTTTTCATGTTCACTTTCAACTTTCTCCCCTTTACACACCCCCCCAAAAAATCTTTCCACAAACCCTTTTTAAATTTTTTTTTTAGAATCTCCCTTAAGCACAGCATAAATCCAAAAAGCAACGGTTAAATTTCCCCAAATTTTGTTTTTAATTTTTCCCAAAAAATAATTTAATCCCACCCTTCCCTGAAAAACCCTGCATTTACTTTTTAAAAACAACCCCATTTTTTTATTTTTTTAAACACACTGGCCGATTCCCACCAAGGCAGGGGGGCCCCCGAAAAAAAAAAAAATTTTCACCATCTTTCCACCCCCTCATGCTTGCCAGAAGGGGGGCTTTAAACACTTCATTTTTTAAAAACAAAAACATTAAAAACCCCTCCTTCAGAGTCAGGCACTGAATTTTCCCATCCCAGGCCTCAAGTCCCCCTCCCGGGTTTCCCTTTGAACCCCCTTCGTAAATGTTATTTTTGCTCACACCCAACAGCACTTCAACTTTTAAAAAACCCATTTGTCCCCCAAATTCACCCCTATCAAACACGCTAAAGCATGCCCCCCCGGGAATCCAAGCCCCTCGCCCCAAAAAATCCCCTTTTAACCCCCCCCCCCCAAACCTTTTCCTGGCCGCCCCCTACCCCATTTCCCCTTCCACTACAGACTGATACCCCTCTTGAAGTCTTTCCCGTTTCCTCCTTCTCTCTACATGTCCGAACCACCCCCAAAAACCCCTTCCTCCCCTCTGGACAACATTTTTGGGGCAATCCCCGCACCCCCCTCCAAATTTTTCCAAACTACAAAAGTTTTTACAACCCATCTATAAATATATTAAAAACCATGGTGACTTAAAACTTTCCCTGCCCTAAGACCTATTTTTAACGGGGAAGTATTCTCCCTCCCCTTCACACACCCTAACCTGAGCCTTCCTATCCTCATAAAAACTCTTTCCCACTTAGAAATTTCCCCACCTATTCCAAAAATTTGGGAAACCTCCCCCCAAAATTGTTTCCCCTATCCACACAAAAAATTCCCTTTTTCTAAATCCATAAAGGGCAATAAAAATTTCCCCCATTACCTTTACCAAATACTTTCACATATATGCTCCAATGAAAAACCACTTGACACACATCCCCTACCCACTCTAAAACCTCCTTGTTTCTCCCAATCCTACATTCTGCCCCTTACCTCTAATTCTTTAAATTTATAATCCTACCATACACTTTTCCTGGTAAAACTCAGTAAACAAAATTCCCTTCAAAAATTTTCAAAATTCCTTTTGTCCCCCTTTCCCTTTATATTAAGGGACTTTTCATGCCTCTCCCAAAACAAAAGGTCCCTTCCCCCCTCTTTATACAAAAAACAAATAAAAATCCCAAACCACTCAAACATTTAAAACCCCCCTTCCCTTTAAAAACCATTTCGGGAAAGTTCCGGTCATTCCAGCTGCTTTCCCCCCTTTTCCCTTTTACTAATGCCTCACCACCTTTCCCACATCCCAAAACCTTTTCTTCACCCAAAAAGAGGGGCACACCTCCCTGGCCAGTGAAAGAAATTACCCCCTTCCCCTTTTTTTTAAAGACTTTTAAAAAGTTCCTCAAAATTTTCCCCCATCTCCCCAAAAACCTCCATCCCCCAAATCTACCAACTCCCCTACTCTTTTTTTTAAACTGAAAAATTCCATTCTTCCCTCTAGGCTTTTTTAACTTTTTTTAACCCTCTTTCCCAAAAATTTTTTTTCTTATTTTCATTAAATTTTTTTGACAGTGCCTCCCCCAAATTTTTCCCATCTGCTCTCCTTTTGGGGCTCTCTCACCACTCTCTTCACCTTTCTTTACCTCCAATACCCTACTTTTTTCTTATAAAAGTTTTGCTTTTTTAAAAACCTCTCAAAAGCTAATTTTTTTCTTTTTTTAATCACCCCCTTTACTTTCATCATTCCCCCAAAACACTTTTTTCCTTTCCTCCTGCCCCCCCCCCCTCCTAAAAAACCACAAACTTCTGCCCCAAAATTCTAATTACTGCATTTTTAAAACAAACCCAACCCCTTTTCCCAACCCCCTCCCTACCATACTGTACCACTCACCTTTCTCCCCAATATTTCTTATAGTATCTCCCCCGAATTTCCTCCCCCCTTTAAATTTTAATACACTTTCACCTCCCTTTTGCTTGTTTTTTTGCCTTTTTCCTTTTTCCCCACTCCTCTTACTCTAACTGAACCCAACAACAAAGTAATATCCGATACATCATTTTGCCCTCAAAAAAATGTGTAAATCCTGGTTATACAGTATAAAAAAAAATTCGGGCCCCCCAACAAAAAATCAACCAAAAAAATTTCACTAAAAAATTTTAACCCTTTCGGGGTTGGTGCCTACTAGTAGGGCTTGCACCCAGGGTTGGTGCCGTACGGGACGCAAAAATTTCTAGCGCCTTCAAACTAGTGAGAGAAAGCTGGTGGGCCCCTAATATGAAAGAAGGGGTTTTATGTGGTCAGTGGCGAAGTAAAAAAAAAATCCAGCACCCAAAATAGTGCATAATGAAAAAAAAAAAACCCGACCCGGTTTTTGGGCTTTAAAACAGGATTTTTGAAAGTGTATTTTCGGATGCTATTTTTGGTTGCCCCTCCTA